TACCGTTATCCTCGAGCCCCATTTAGTATGAGGACCCTTGGGTGGATAATACAAGCGCCACTTCTGTCATCGATCATGACTCTTTTAACGTCCGTATCAGCGATACGTAAAGTGATAACTAAAGCATCATAATGAGGGAAAGACAAACCGTCGGCATCGGACTTATCGAAGGTGATACAATCTTCGAAGTCCTCATACCGTTCATGGGCGATGGTCCGCTTTAGTCCGTGTGTGGTGGCGAGTTTGACGTGATTGATCGCTGACTCGTCGCCACCTCCGACGATCATGTTTATCGTGCGCGCTGGGGAAGGTGGCTTCGGCGGCCCGTGGGGTTGTTCCCGTCCGCGTGCAAAGTTGATTTTTCCTTTGTCGCTGAGTAGCTCCCTCAGGTATCCCTGGTTCAGCATCCTGACCACCTCTTGCCGCAGGCCTATGCAGTCTTCGGTTTTGTGTCCTCGTTCCTGATGGAACTCACATAGGGCGTTTGATTTCCTTGTGGCAGGGTCTGATTTCATCTTCTGCGGCTAATGCACCTTGGTGCCTAGCTTCTCCAGTGCGTACACTATCTCTGAAGGAGATACACAAAAGTTATGGGCGGTTAGTAAAGGGGGCGTACCTCTTTCGTTTCATAGTGGGACGACGTGTCACTGTAGTGCGTCTGTATGCCTTGGTGGCAGATGGGAGGATCTGGTGTATGGCTGGTGTCGATCTCTGTTGGAACGGGGGAGTTGTTCTCGTCGTCCTTCGTTCCGTCGATCTCTTCTCGTTTCTGAGTGTATCGCTGTTAGCCGTTGGGTCGGCCCATTAAGATCATCCTCGTTCGCTCGTACCTCGGCGCAATAGGCATTGTGGATTTCCTCCCATGTGGTAGGGGGATATTTCATGAGGCGGCTCAGCAGCTTCCTGGTTGCCCTCGAACCATCTCTGCTTAGCCCGTTCTGGAAAGCGGCGACTGCCATACCTTCCGATACATTTGGTAGACTCATCCTTACCCTGTTAAACCTTGCCAAGAAGTCCCTGAGTCCCTCTCCTGTGTTTTGCCTGATGGCGAAGACATCGTTGACCCTGGCCTCCGCTTTCTTTGCGCCTGCATGGGCTGTGACGAATTTATCCGCCATTTCCTCGAACGTTGTTATTGCCTTAGCCGGTAGCTGAGAGTACCATGTTGAGGCCCCTCCTGTCAACGTCTCGCCAAACTTCTTCAGCAGAACCGACGGTACCTGTTCTTTCGATAGGTCGTTTCCCTTCACAGCGGTGACATAGTGGATCAGATGATCCTCGGGATCTGTGGTTCCGTCATATACCCTTAAGTAGGGTGGCATCTTGAAGGTTTTTGGGGTGGAGTGAGGAGAAGCTTCTTCGGTGTATGGTTGTTTAACGAACCTTCCCACATCGCGATTTGGTAGCAACTTGGGAGCACCGGGGATCTTGTCGACCCTCTCCTGATGTTCCTTCATTTGACCGCGGAGCGCCTTGTTTTCGCTTTCCATTTCTTCCATCTTCTTTAGGATGGCTGTTAGCGTGCCATCGTTGGTCTGTGTCTCGATGGGTCTGTTATTTACCGGTGTAACTTCCGGTTCACCTACTGCAGCAGTGGTACCTACCGTTGGTGCACATACGATGTTATTTTGCGGCGACCTCTCAACCAAGCCACTTAGAGTGCTTGTTAGCCATCTTTCCAGTAGCTCTTTGACCGCTGAGGGTGCTTCCGTAGCCGCAGATGTGGAAGCTCCTTTTTCGTGCAAGATCGTCAGGCCTTCGGATGGGGAAGGTGAGATCTCTGCACCTGGTGTGATGCTAGGGGTTTCATTCAGGATGCCATCGTCACTGGCCTCGTTGAGAGGGCCCAGGAGATTGGTAGTGACACCCAATATGGCTTTTGATCTTGTGTTATTTTCGGCCATTTTTTGTTTTTGAGTGGTGTTGAGAGTAGTAGTTGGTTGATCTCTAGGTGGATACTATGATTTTGATTCTCGAAATCCTCATAGACGGCGCCAAATTGTTTGGCTCAAAAGTTAACGATGTACTTTGTAAGCGATAAAACAATCAAAAAATAGAGAAGGGGTAAATCGTAATCAAATATAATAAGCCTAGCGATGCAAAGATGATAATATTGTTGTAGATCTAATATTGCAAAGTGACAACGTATGTTAGTAAGGTATTTTCGTCAGAAGTAGTGATATAGAGAGAGAAAGACAGAAAATGAGAGAGTTGTATTAGATCAGATGTCCACCTTTTACAATGTGGAGGTCTCCTTTATATAATAGGAGACCTTCCTCGAAAGAATCAAAAAGTAACAGAGATAGGTAACATCTCCCTAGTATAGACACTGAGTTCTAAACGACGTCGCTTTGGTCCTCCCGGCCGAGTCGTACCCGCTACGTTGGTCGGCGTACACTCATTGGGGGAACCACTGGCGTAGAGATACTGAGGGCCAAATTTGACCCTATACAAACTCTAAGGTGTTTCAGTTTACAGAGCATTTTTTGAACATCATATTATTGTTGGTATTATATTGTAAACTAAAGCATATACTTGATGGCAGAAAAATATATATGTGCTAACCAAAAGGAAATAATTCATAATGGATACGTCAAAATTATCGTATTGATGTTCCAAATCTACATGTTGCCTCCTTATCATAGAGCATACAGAAATCTTTTTTACCATCTTGTGCAATTTTAAAGAACTGCTGACAGACATCAGCCCAATTTATTTCAACTAAGAGTTTCTTATGGCTGTTCACATTCAGGAAATGTTCGTAGGGGGAACTGGCACATCATCACAGTTCTAGAGTGGGTGATTTCAGAAATGATGAAGAAACCACATGTGATGGAATAGGCACAAGCTGAGGTGAGAAAGGTACTTGAAGGGAAAAGTAAAATGACAGAATCAGAACTTCAAAAGCTAGATTACATGAAATTGGTTATCAAAGAGACGCTGTGAATGCATCCACCTTTACCTTTGCTACTACCAAGAGAAGCTAAAGAAAAATGTGAAATTGGTGGCAACGAAATACCACCAAAAACTAAAGTCATCATCAACGCGTGGGCAATAGGTATACATCCAGAGCACTGGAAAATGCTGAATGCTTTGAACAAGAAAGATTCGAAGATTCTGCGTTTGATTTCATTGGGACTAATCTTGAGTACATACCATTTGGAGCTGGCAGAAGGATAAGTCCAGGGACATTATTTGGAATTGCAAATGTTGAACTTCCACTTGCCAAGTATGCACATGGAATAAAAGTTTCTTCCTTTCGTTTTTTCCTCTGTTATTTGTTACTGTTATATTACTGTAAGTCTGCAACACAATGAGTAGCAACACTACACTTAGTATTTCACATTTCTTATAGTCCATAATATGCCCAAGTGTAAGAAAAAGCACTCTTATCTAAGTGTCTGCAGTAGTATATGTTGGAATATAGAATAGGACCAAAGATTACCAGTCCATGTATTCCCTGCTCCTATTTGCTCGATCTCATGTTGATACATCTAAAACAACTTAAGAAAGGAATAATAACAATATTAATACTTCTTGTTTCCCAATCAACTGCACTAGCTTTGAAATTGCTCTTTAGATATACCTATCTAGAACTGGAAACATGCAAGAACCGTAAAATAAACAAGCAGCATTAAGAGAGCAAATATCAGATTTGTCAACAAAGGGAAGCAGCAAACAAAATCTAAGATAATATGGAAATTACTGTAACCTTCTCTCGCCAAAACAGAGCACTTTGAGAAGATTACTAGAGAACTCCAAATATATAGCTCTTAGAAGCCCTTATGAAATTAAAATCTTAACTTCCCAAAATACCAACATTTGTATATGTAATTGCTAATATTAATCCTAGCAAAATAATTAAGATAGCATAAAAATGCTTTAAAAGGTTAAATCCTAAAAATCTAGAGGCGGAAGCATCGTCTGTCCAAATCTCTAGTTTCCTTTCTAGACCTATAAACCCTAAACTTTAGTTTGGTTGTGCTAATCAAACACAAGCTTCCTCTGTTAGTGATCCCTTCGACCATATAAGAATCCTCTGTGCTACTCTCCTCACTTAAATTAGTTGTCAAACATCATAATGAACTTGCCAAAGAGTAAGACACTAAAATGAGCAAGGTCCGTTACGTTCATATAAGAGTTTCTAAATTTTTAAGTGTCTGTTGCAACTGGGGTTTGAATGTTTCGATATAGTTTCTTTGCTCGAGGACGGGCAAACATTTCAAGTGTGACTTTGCATAAGCTTCACCGTTTTTATTTATTTATTTTTAGAAAATAAACATTACTTCTAACTCAATTCCAGAAAAACTTTACTCATGAGGTGAATATTTCCCAAAACCATATAATATAATAACACATTTCATCAACAAATGTGGCACACAAATTGTACTATGCTGTGACTCAAGGTATGAAGAAGACAAAAAGAATAAGAACGAAAACAACAAAAGGGAACATCTAGCTATAAAAACAAGGATCAAGGAACCAATACGAAAATTTATTGTCTCCTTTATGACTTATTTTCTGGTGATAGCAATTGCATACTGCTCTTTCATTAGCTTAATTTGATACAGCCACATCAAATTGCAAAAATAGTTATCTATATCTCACCTTCATTCTGCTTACAATACTCATTTCACCCTAATTACAAAAGCATTATCAGTAATTACATCCAGAAAACATAATGATAAGCCAAAATGCTAAAATTAATTTCAGAAACAGACCGTGGATCGGAGAAAAAAATTTGGACCATTTCTCGATTTGTGCGTGTCATCCTTGCGCAGGGGCCATGCTAATCTTCTCTGTATCGTTCCAATTTTATCGGATGTCCCCGAAGGGACGAGGTACTAACTTCTGGTCTGAGCTGATAAACTCTTTAAAGTTTTCTTCTGTAGACGATGTGGTAACCAGGTTAGTTGGATCCCAGCTGGACTCTTTAGGTTTCTGGTTACTATCTGAATTACACTTGCTGAGATGGGCCGGCCTTTTTCACTAGCTGAATGGCCTTTCCTTTTGGGTTTTACGTCCAGCTCTACTAACTCTAAGCCCAGTAGTGAATTTTTATGGAAATTTTCGTTCCTATACCATATAGGAAACTATATTACCAAATATGTTCATAGTTTGCATATTACCCTTCATGCTAATAGTATTTCTAAAAAATATAGACAATTCATTAAATAAGGAATCACTGTAGCTGTAGGCTTCCTTATTTAGGCGCGCTAAAATTGGGAGATTAAATATTCTTCTAGATCTTCCACAACGCAAATCACGCACATTAATCTTCGGGAAACTTACACAAATGTCCCAAATAAATCTCAACGTACCAACCTCTAGCCATTAGTTATAGACTTACCAAAACTAGCCAACAAAAATTAAAAAATCAAATAATAGGGTTTTTTCTCTCAAAGAATCACATGCAAAACTCACCTTCCATATTTTTAAGCGTGATTAGCAACATTAGATACAAGACGGAAAGGAAATTTCATGGACGGGGTAGCAAATAAGGTGATGAAATACAAAAATCTATACAATATTCCAAAAAATCTAAACAAAAAAGGAACTTTTTCAATGGGTATAGTTGAAATTCACTGAAAATATATAGATAAGTCAATATACAAAATTTGAGGAAGATTGGAGGTGATTTGGACTTGTTTTTTGTATCAAAATTCGTAATTAAATCAAGTTCAAAAAAGTCTTCTGCGACACATGTATCAAACATGTATCACGCATGTATCACAGACACAGGTATACATGGATATACATGTGATACATAATTGATACCAATATGATACATATGTGATACACAAATGATACACAATGTGATACACATATCATTTTTTTCATGTTCAGCTTTTACTTCGAATTTTCAATTCAAACCACCTCAAAACTTCACCAAATCATCCCAAAACTGAGATTCAAGCTCCTTGAGTTGTGCCCAATCTATTCTAATAACACACACTCAAAGCAAAGCAAAAATTTGATATGTTTTGCTACAAATAGCTAATTGGCTAATTTGGCTAATAATAGTAATATTTAATCAATTGGCCAATTTTTGTAATGAGCTACTTATAAATGGACATAGCTGGTAATTTCCCTTAATCTTCTTCGTCAGTTTCGTTTCAAATTTAGAGGGTGTTTGGATGGGCTTAAAAGGTGGTCAAACCAGCTTTTAAGCCACTTTTTATTATATGGAGTGTTTGGCAAAAAAAAACTGCTTAAAAAAAGTTAAAATGTGCTTAAAAAAAGCCAAAAGCAACAAGTTGGTTGATCCCAACTTTTCCGATTTTGGCTTAAAAGCCATTTAGGTTTGACCAATAAAATTACTCTTTTGTCCATTATAAGTTTTCATAATACTAAACTTACTCTCAGTCAATGGAACCCCAAAACATTTTCTTCTCCTATTTTCTTCACATCTGAAGACCCGTTCTTCTTCTTTCATCTTCCTCTCTACTTCATCTTTCATTTTCTGCACTTTCCTCAAGTATTATTTTTTGATCTACTTGCGTTACTTTCTACCAATTCTACTTGACTATATAGTATTTTTCTTCTACTTTATAAAAATTATCTAAAGTAATCAAATAAATTAAAATTAAGTTAAAATATAAATTATTTTTTATTTGCATTAATTTATAATTAAATATATTATAGTAATCAGCTCCTTTAAAATATTAACAGCTTTACGGATATTTTTGTCCTTTTAATAGAAAAAAGTGCTTACCAGCACTTGTTTACCAAACACTTCAACAACTTTTTTTTAGTTTCAGCACTTTTATCCAAACATGTAACTGCTTATTTATAAAACAAGCTCCAGCACTTAAAAGCTGCTTTTAAGCCCTTGTGCTTAGAAGCCACTTTTTTTAAGCCAATCCAAACGGGCTCTTAGCGTCTCTGCTTTTTCGATACACTGTGTTTCAAACTTTTTTCTGATTTCACAAATCAAAAACGACTAAATCTTCTATAATTCTTCTACATCAAATGCAATTATGTCCAAATTTCAGTAATACAAAGCAAAGAAAAAGAGAGCAGCAATTCCACCATTGACAGCCATTAAAAAGCTTTGAAGCTTTCAATTCAAATTTGGGTTTTCAAAACTCATTATTTGTTTGGATTGGGTGTTGTTGCAAATAATTAGGAATTGGAGTTTATATCTCAATTTTGAGGGGTTTTGGTGAAGATTAGACTTGGTTTTGGCTGAATTTCGGATTGAAACTTGAAGAAGAAGAAGAAGAAGAAGAAGAAGAAGACATGACATACATTATATTGCAGAAATTGTATAAAAATTATAGATAAATTATATTCTGTTGTTTATTTATTTATTTTTTATTCATTTAACTATTATATGAAAGTTGAACAACATTGTATAAAAATTATATTTAAGTGGTATTATATTGTAGTTGTATATAACTTAGTAGAAATAATGTACGAAAATTGTAGATAAGTTGTATAATATATAATTAGTTGTATGAAAATTATTTTTACTATGTATAAATCAGATACAAAATATACAAAAGACATATTGTATAAATATTGTATAAAATTTGTATGTAAGTTTTATGTTATTGTAGTTGTATTTCACCGGGTGGAAATAATGTGTGAAAGTTGTAGAAAATTGTAGATAAGTTGTATTCATCTATAACGGGAGATGTTGGCATATCAAGTAACTTTAATGTTCCAGACGAACATGCATGAAAATAAAGATAAATTCTGTTATGAACAGTTTGTAGAAATTTTGTAGATAATTTGAGAAACATTGAAATTCTGTATTTTCATGTTAATTTTTCAAATGATATGTAGTTTTATTGTAGATTAAATGTAGAAAACTAGTCATTGTGAGTCTTATTTGACTCATTCCTCACATTCAACCTATTCTACAAATTCACGCCTTTTTAAATACAATACAACCATACTTTCTTGAATTTAAAGGTATAGCAATATATATAACTTAAAAAACATCTTCTCCTCTGCACAAGTTAGCTCCAAAACAGACGAAGTGGAATAACAAGCTCCCATCAAAACTTTTAACACAAAAACACAAAGCTCAAAAATAAATAAACAACAGTCTATAATTTTTCTATAATTTATCTACAATTTCTGCAATATAATATATGTCATGTCTTCTTCTTCTTCTTCTTCTTCTTCTTCTTCTTCTTCTTCTTCTTCGAGTTTCAATCTGAAATTCAGCCAAAACCAAGTATAATCTTCACCAAAACCCCTCAAAATTGAGATATAAACTCCAAACCATATTCCCAATTGATGTTCTAAACGTCAATACCACACAAGAGGAGGGGTGATTTGTGTGGTACCCAATTTTCGCTCTAGAAGAACCTGGTTCTTCTAGGTATACTAACTACTGCTGTTTGCGGAATAATAAATACAGAAAATAAAAAACACAGAGATTTTACGTGAAAAACACCCGGCTCAAAAGGTAAAAAAACCACGACCTACTACTTAGTAGGATTTTCCTAAACTTCCACTAAAATCACTGAGCCAAAACAGCATTTACAACACTCTTTGTAAACCTAAGGATTAACTCTAATCCCGTTGTAGCAACCAACCTCTAACTGCTGCGACAACTTCAAGTTAACTCTAACTTGAATACTCAAAATACCTATTACAATTGCTTCTAGATAAAGCTGAAAGGTACAATATGAAACACCTGCTACAATTGAACTAGAAATAAAGAAAGATACATAAAACTCTTTATGGAGTTGGTTCTTCAATCTGGTTCATGTAGCTTCTGGTTTGCACACTTGAATCACACACGAATTGCTTGCAAAAAGCCTTGCTATTTTGCTCCCAATTCACGTTTAACTTCTGCGTTTTTGTGCAACACATATAATGTGAGAACATCCTGCAGTTTATAGAGTTAGTGGATGAAGAAATAACTAGAGTTCTGATGCAACTCTTCCTTGGTGGAAGAGTTCTAGTTGATTTCAACTTCTAACTCCTTCCCTATCTTGGATAGTGTTCTCTTTGATTAAGGAGTCTTTCTCCTTATCAATTATGCAACCTTTTCGATCAGGAGATATTAAATACACCAAGTTAAGCTTATCTCCTTCACGTGCAACCCACATGCTCGAATCTGCCCATTTTTGTGCACCTGAGTGATGGACCTGGTTCATCCTGAGTTCCTTTGTCAGTATTCAAAACTAACCTTTACTTGGACCAACAAATTCCCCCTTTTTGATGATGACAAACTCTGTGCTTTTCATAAGCTTAGGCCCTGTTTCAACTCAGCTCAACATCAACACAATGTTAGAAACATTTTTCCTTTTTATCACTTATCATCAAGGACCAGGTACATTAGGTTATAAACAACACTGTTCAAAGTGTAAAGCACAACCTTTTTCCCCCTTTTGGCATCATCGAAAAGTTGCATAAAATGTGAGATAACCAGATTTTAAAAGTTACTCATGGCCACTGGGGCTACTTCAAATGCAATCATGAATTAATCATCATAGATCAAGCTAAGAATTTTAACCATCAAAGAAATATGAACAAACAGTTAGAGCAAAAACAGTGAATTTCATTAATGATTGATAAGATTCTACCACAAAACATAAGAAAAATAAAAATACTGAAAACATGAGCAAAAGAAACAAAAAGTCTCGAATTGGGTTTAGGGATTGGAAGAGGTAGGGGCTGTGTTATTTGCTTGGAGAAGTTTCAGCATGTCTTGAAGAATTCCATCATTCTTCTCCTTTTCCCTTGCAAGTTCAGTTCTGAGAACATCTCTCTCAAATTCTACCTCAACCAATCGTGTCTTCAGCCTTGCTATCTCAATATCCTTTGCCTCACTCTCCTGTACCAAGACTCTGACTTTGCTATTGATAGGTGTCTTTTTAGATGAACCAGGTTCATTAAAAATGACATTGACTTCA